ACCCACAATAGGCCTTTTGCCTCTAGCCTTTTCAGTATCTTTGAAGATCAAGGCATCTGCGGTGTCTTGCAAACTAGCCACTTTTTCGATCAAATTCTCGAATGTTTTGATCGTACTCATCTTTAGCAAGACAAAAATAGGGTCTGTTATTTTTCCCATGAGGAATGCAACCGCATGTTGTTCTTGCAACTAGGGTTCACCCTGCAAACTCAAGTTGCGCCAACGAATGGTGAACTCCACCAAGGACTCTACAGGACCCTGTTGGGCCAACAATAAGTCATTCAAGGTTACTCTGTGATGCGCTCCTACAAAGCGTTTGAAAAATGCATCTTCCAGTTTAGTAAAGGTTTTGAATGAGCCATTAGGTAAATCAACATACCACTCAAAAGCAAAATCTGCAAAACTGGTGATGAAGAGTCGAAGTAAGAGGGCGTCATTGTTGCCAACGTTGCAACAAAGTGCTCTAAATTGGGCTATATATTGGGCTATATGTTGAATTGGGCTATATGTTGGCGAGGATTGCCAAAGCTATCAAAACTTTTGAAAAGAGTGGGAACAAATCCCGGAGGGTATGAAATAAAATCATATGCCTCGAGATAAGGTCTTCCCCTTTGCACAATAGTCTCACCCTGCTGAGCTGCCAATGCAGCCTTGATCTTAACATCAACTACAGACTGTAAATGTGTATCAGAGGAGATATGCTCGTGCTGGGCAACATCAGAAGAAGCGACATGAACATGCCGTGAAGGTGCCAAAGGCACCGAAGGAACAGCTGGGCGTGCCTCACCCGGAGCCGGGAGAGAAACACCGTCAGATCCCGCCCTTTCATTCTGCAATGCCACTATTTGGGCAGCAAGAAGGGAGAGTTGGGCTTGCAAGTGAGGCTTGCAAGTGAGTGAGAGTTGGGCTTGCAAGTGAGTGATCAGCTCATCTTTGCTCTGATCTTCTCGATCAACCATGGGGCCGCCATGAGCTTGTAAAAATGAAGGAGTAGGAAAGGCATAGATATATATGTGGTATATATCTATCCATATCTGGGCCCGAGTGTTCACAGTCATGACCTGGCCAGTGGCCATCTCAAAATCATGGAGTTACTCACCAAGGAGGTCATCCTCATAAAGGAAACCCTCTGACATATCCAAAAAATTTCCAAACGGGTCATTCGGGGTAAGAAGGCAATCCCCAGATAAATCGCCCTCAGGATCGATATCGGGCACCATTTTGGGATCAACTGATAATGGCTCCATGGGATGGTCGACTGGAGGAAGGTATGAT